TCTTTGTGTTCAGTTCACTCAGTTTTTTCCACTAAAACACGAAATTTATCAAATTTCAGACACCTGCAAATTCTCTGTCTTATTGATATCGATTGGCTTATGACGTAAATATAGCTTCAAAAGTTTATCGAGTGATTTATAGTATTTTTTTTTTCAAAAAATATGAAATTGTCGAAGATTTTTAAATGTCGTAATAGACATACGAATTTTTCGACCCTGGTTATCAAATCTCTTTAGGAAATGGATAATTGTTTGAGTTTGTTTACTTTTTTTTTATTTTTTTATTTTCACTTCTTAGAACCATGAAAATTCGATCGGATGAGACAGATCCGAGAGAGTGAGGAAAAAATTAAGTCCATTGCAGTTTTCAGGCTCTTTGTGTGCCTACCTCGCTTCATTTTTTATCACTTTTCCTTGCCTTGAGCCGAGAACGTCGGCGGAAATTAATCTTTGATTAGCATAGGAAACAAATAAAATCCATTTGCAAAGCTCGATCAATTCACAACAATCGAAGCACGAAAGTGAGTTGGTTTACATTTTTGTGGTTCTATCGGTTGTCGAGGAACGCGAGCTTTATGACCACTCAGAGTTTAAACATGTTGAACTATCTCTATAAATTTTTCGAATTTTTTACCGTGCTCCGTTGTGTGGGCTCATTAATTATTGCCATCGAGCTGTAGAGCTGTCTCGCGAGAGTGCGACAGTGTTGTCAAACGGGATAAGCCCCTCAATAATTTTGAAATGCCCTATAGTAGCATCTTTCAACATTGAAACACGTCCTGATTGATCGGACGTTTGAAACATTCGGAGGGAAAACATTATAATGAAGTAACTATATTTACACATGTTATTAAAAAATGAAATAGTGTTTTAAGAAGGAGATGGCAGGACATTTAAATTGTATTCGTCAGTATTTCATATTTTGAGCTGTACATATTGATTAAAATGGTGCCCGTTACCGTCGATCCCTTGCCTATTTATTTGTTTTTTGTGTGCAAGAAGCAACCACGAAATCAGTAGAAGATAACTCGCACTGCAGTATTGCCTAATATGAAAATATAGAAGGCCCACTTTATACAGTCGGAATAAAATCGCCCAATCGATTTTTGAGTGTATTTCGGATAATTGGCGGCAATTTTTCAAAGAACAGGAACTTCTTTCATTAGAACTCAGAGGCATGCACTGGAAAAAAAAGTAGCTTGGATCTAGAGTCCAGACTCTTGAAAACAATGACAAGAAAAAATACTCTCGATTCAATCGGATTTTTGCTTAAATCAAGAACCCAGTTAGCAGATTTTCCTTTTGATTCAAGCAAAAAGCAGTTTCAATCAAGAGTTTTTTTGCTTGTCATTGTTTTCAAGAGTCTGGACTCTAGATCCAAGCTACTTTTTTTTCCAGTGCGGGTCAATTTTATTAGAACTTCATTTTTGTAGTTGCTGCTCTCTTCGGTAACACGACGGTGTGAGTGTTTCTAATGGGCTCCACGGGAATGAATAATTATGAGTGGGATGTGGCTACGGTGCGGCCGAGTGTTGTCACACAGTGTCGAGACGAAAACTAGGACACGAAACCGCGGAAGGACAGAACAGGAGAGAACCGAACCGAACCGAAGGAACTTCGGAGCGGTTCATCAAGTCGCCGGGCCCCGGAGCCCGCCGCGGTGGCAACCTACCACACCCTCGAATTATTGTGCTCCGGGTCGCGTTCATTGAGCTCTGTTGTCATCACCCCCCCCCCCCNAGCCCCCCCTCATTCCACGACCAATGAGCTTGGTTCGCGGTACCCCATCGAGCTTTGTATTTTTTTTTTGCCGCCGTAAACACGAGTCTGTAGCACAGCCGTGTTACCGAAGGAAGCAGTATGTACCGAAATGAAGTTTAGAGACAGATGGAATTTGTAGCGTTTGACCGGAAAAGTAATTTCGAACGAATGGAGAATTTGCAGGTGTCTGAAATTTGATGGATTGCGTGTTGACTTGGAAACTACTGAGTGAACTGAACAAGAGGATACCCTTCGGTTATAAATTGAACAATTATTGGAGAAGATATTACAAAATTATCTAATATGCTAAAATACATGTTTTTAAATTGGAAATGCCGCTGGATGACGTCAGCAGGCGGTACATTTTCTCACTTTCAAATATATTTTTATACTATTTCCCATATCAGAAAAAAAATTATTAAAAATTCTGTGAAATCAGCTCTTTAAGCACTTTCAGATGAAGCAATAAAAACATTGCATGCAAATTCTCCATTCTTCGTTCCTCCTACAACTGTCAACAATCATCCGCAAGACTCTTAGAAATGGCATGAAATACCCCCCAATTTCGCACCATTACTTAATGCTACCACAATTATTAACAAGTTTCTATTTTTCTGTTGCAGGTATGATTCTACATTTTGTCAATATCCCTCCCGTCTTGGGCATGTCTCATGTAAGCTCAATTTCTTATCAATCTTTCCGCTATAACTGCACTGTTCAATTGGTTTATTTTTTCTGTTACGCCAACATTATTCACTTCGTTGTTGGCCCCGGCTTATCACATCGTGTCCCATCTATTTAATGACCTGTTATTTAATCTGACCGTTGGTTTTCGTTATCATGAGGTTTTTATCAAATCAGATTCTCACTCGAAATTGGAAGTTTTGACGGGCTCTGGAAGAAGTCAGCTCAATATTTTGAAAACTCGTGTCATTGAGGTTTGCACTCCCTGGCGTGAAACAACGCAACACTTAGAATAAGTAAATAAGCAAGGAAGAATTAGACTAATTTGTAAGTGCAATCATGAGACAAGTTTCTTTGGAAACTGGTCCAGTGAGAAACGGAAGGCTGCGTGATACAAATATTTTAACTCCTCTGTAGCTCAAATTGCATAACCGCTGAAATTAAGGCACTTCAATCTTGCGCGCTACGCGAGGTTCAGAGGAGTTGATTATGTGTATCCTGCAGTCCTCCGTTTCTATCTTTACCTGTTTTCAAAGGCACCGTTGTAGCTAGGACTCCTTCAAGTAGATCCTAACGGTATAATTCTATATTGATTGTACTTAGAGCCGGAAAAGTGTATCCCTCATACGTTGCTCTCGGCAAGTATGGAAAGTGAAACACAAACTTACTAGATTTAGGTTTGTGTTGATTTTAATATTAAGAATAGTGAATACCCTCAAATCAACTAGAAGTTTGTGTTATTTCGTGTTCTCCCCCCTCCCCCTCCTATTACACGGATCTCTGTGTTATTCTCTCTTTTAGTTTGGAAATCTTGAATATAGAACCAAGATGAGAGGAAAAGCGCATACCTGTTTCGGCGCCCCGATTTCCGGTGTTCATGGCGAAACCCATGTTGGCACTTATTTCATTACCAGTTAAATTACCTAATTAATTCAATAAACCCCATTAATGGGAGTGAGGGTCGGAGTGAGTATTAACAGTCATTAGCACCGTCCACACAGTAAACAAGGAGGCTAAATTAGAGCCGAGTAAATTGACTCGTTCGTGCGTCGAAATTCTCACACTGATTGAGTTTTATGCTCATCAATGCCCTTTGATTAAACCGTGTTTCGTTTCACGCAAAGCTCAATTCGGTGCCTCATCGTGACCCCTTTGAGATCGACGTAAAGCTGCCTCAAGTTGCTGAAGGAAACTTGTGAGAGGAGGAGATGAGAGGTTTTCTATCTCCTACTGATCCAAGACCAAAGAGTTTCAAAGCCTGGTCGATTCAGATCTCTGTCATTCAAAGGATCATCGTGTTAGCCTAAATTTAAAGCAAATTAGCACTCGTTGTTCAAGTACTTGTTTTCGTTATTCGGTTTGAATGGTTCTTGCCCCAACCTCCTTTATAGTGCGTTGCTATTCTATTATTTTTTTCTCTTTTTTACTGTCACTATTAATTATTAGTATACCACGGCCCAAGTTTTTCAACGATGTTTGCTCAAATTTTGACGCATTTCGCGGCTCTGTCGCAAACACCAGTCACTTATTTTCTAGTCTGAAAAGGCGTTCGGGTCCCATCACGATCCCTCTCATTTCGGAGGAATTTTTTAAAAGTCTGACAAAGTGGTAGCAGTTATTGTTACTTGTAAAATTGAAAACTCCCAACTATCCCATCGCGAGTGGAATAAGAATGCAACATGGCTTAAAACCACCCCTTTTCTGAAGTGCGCCGATTTGCGTAGCGCCCTTTCGTTCAGAGGGTCGTCATTTGAAGAGTTTCCCAAATGCCCTTTTGCATTTTACTGAAGTTGGTCTCATTGCGAGCCTTCTGGTCAATTTTGATCAATTTTAGAAAATATCAGGATGCATTTAAAACCTCGTCCCCCTCTCCATAATTTGACCGTAATGACAACATTTCCCTTTTTATTGTACGGATAAAGTACAGATACACTGCGAAAGCACGGATTTCGGAGGGTCAGTACAGAAGTATGGGAAAGGTACGGTAATTCGAGATTTTCGTTGTCAACTCTTAAAAGTAGCCTCGGGGGTTAATTTTGCGAAGTGCGCGACTGATCTAGTGCGCCCATTTCTTGGAATCAGTACCGATTTTCAGAACTTGTAAGATCTTTCAGAATTTCCCCCGGAACTATGAAGATTCCCAAAATGTTCCGGATTTTTGCATTTTCCGGAATTTTTTAAAAAATCTGATAAGAATCCGGGAAATTTCGACGGCCATGACGTGGTAGACATTGGAACACTAAAGTTCCGAATCCCGGAGCTTTTGACGGACACGGCCTGGGAGCATTGGACTGATGCATCTGGTTTCCGTGTCCGCACTGGCACGACGAATTCCGATCCTGGGAAATTTTCACCGTTGGCGAAGAGGACGAACGCAACGGGCCCTCGGAGCCGGGGCGACGGGTGAGGGGGTGGCGCGGTGGCGAAAATGGTAAATGGGCGCGCGGCTCGGAGGCTCGGCCGCGGGCGGAGGGGGCGCGGGGCGGGGGCCGGGGCCGGGGCGGTGTCTCGGTGCGCATGACGAGTGAGGTTATTATATGTCGAAAAGTTGTACACGTCTCCGGCTCCGGCGCGGCCGCCTCGCGCCTCTCCGCGTCTCGGATCCGCTCGGGCTCGGCTATTTTTAAGTCGATACTGAATCGAGCATCGAGCGCGCTCGCCTCGCCTCGCCTCGCCGCGCCGCGCCGCGCCTCGATCGTCGTCGTCGTCGGTTTCGACGTCAGTCTCGGTCAAGTCTCTCGCCGCACACACTCCCGTCAGTCGCCGAGCGCCAGAGCCGATAGCGCGTTCGCCCCCCGTTCGCCGTCCCGGAATCCCCACGAGGATCGCCATCCGCAGTGTTTTCCTTTCCGCGTCGACGTCTCCTCAAGTGTCCGGGGGTTTTTTTCGCCCCCTCCCCCTCCCCCGCGAAAATTTCCGAGTTATCGTTTCGAGTGTGGCTTTTGTTATCTGGGCAGTGAGTGAGTGTCAGTGCGCGCGATTCGTCGCGGCTCGTCGGTGGAGCACTCGAATGGATCCGCTCAACCTTGGCGGGAAGTGATCCTCCTTTAATCGCGGTGCTTTGCTCAGTGCGTCTTTGGCGGGTCCGTCGAGTGATAGTGGTGTCCGCGTTGGTGTCGCTGCTCCAGCGCTCAGCTGATGCAACTGCTCCGTTGTGCAACCGAGGAATATCGCCCCGCTGCCCCTGGGAAATCGGCTCCAGAGCCCGGGGTGTCCATCGTGCGTCCAGCGAGTTGCGCTACCCTCGCAAGCGCTCAGAATCGAGTGTTGAATGAGTACGCTGAAATCCGTCGTAGCGAGGGGGGAAAACATGGCAAAAAAACTCGTCGTCAAGGTCGTGCCTGCGTCGCGACGTGATATCGAAGAGTGGAAGGTGTTCTGACCACTTAAAGTGGGTGGTCAAGTTTCACATGTAAACTTTAGCACTCTGTTTGTTGAATTCAACTCACCTCCTAGAAAGCGTTTTTCGATCAAGGTCTCTAGTCGTTTCATTGATAACCTTGTCGTTTAGGCGCCTGTGATAACAGCTGAGCAGATTTCAACGCAAAAGCTCACTCTGTAGCTTTTGCGTAGCTACGAACGTGGGGATTTGAGTTATTTTTTTCAAGAAAAGCCGAAAGGCAGTAAACACTAATCATGGACGATCGAAATAGACGATATTTTTGCTGTTGTTTTTCCCCCTCTCTCTTTTCCTCTCTTTTATATTTCCACCCACCCCTCCAGACTGCCATATCATATAGTATGAGAGTAATTAGTTGGTTAATTTCAAGGGCTGAAATGGCTTGAACTTGACAGCCGATACATTTCACATTCCGAGCTCCTGTTTTCGACAGGGCACGCTGATATTTCAGTTTCTCATCCAACTGCGCACATCATTGCACCTCTAAACGTAACCAGCATCAGTGATAAAAGTGCGATGAGGATTTTTACTTTCTCGCTCCCATAGGGTATTTCCTTTCTGAAGGGATACCGAACTATGGAATATAGAACGATGTTTACAATAACCAACTCAATCGATGGAATATCCGTGTGATGACCTCAGAGCTGAAATAGCCCTCAAAGATAGAAAAAAAATCGCGTCTATCTCATCCCCTTTCACTCACCCCTGTAAAGTTCATGAAGCAGTTGGACCGTTTATGGAAACGTTCAATAGCAGCCCTCTTGTGCAGATTCTATGCTTGTGCGTGACAAGAAATGAAGAAATGGAAGTCAAAACCCGGCAAACGCCTTCAGGTGTTGTTAAATTTATTACGCGACCACTTCTTTTATTTTGGTGCCAAAGAGCCGGTTATTATTTCGATTTTTCCATTCCAGAATAAATTCCTAGAAGTGCTGAACCCCCCTCCCCCCGCCTCGGACTGGTTTAAGGCCAAGAGGTCGATTCAACGGCGATTGTTGAGAGTTGGCAACGCTGCTTTAAATGTATGTGGAACAACCGATTCTTGGTGAGCAAGCTTCCTTCACCCAAAATCGATGTTTTTAATGGCTTTAAATGGAGGAAACACAGTGTTGCCAACTTGCTGGAATATAGCTGCTGGATTGATTTAGCCATGAGGTTAGATGAGCTCGAGGGTGAGTCGAGTTGAAGACTACTCACCCCGAAATATTAACACGGTCGTCGGTCGTTTACCTAACCTGCCGCAACCACCCTATTGATCGCGTCTCACCTTGACTGGAAGCTTGGTGGTTAATTTAAACCGCGGGTCGATCGGTGAATCGTATTCGTAATCGAATGACTCAGCTCGATAAATTCCTATCTTAGCTATGATATCGATCGATCAAAGGTCATCGATAAAATTTCAACAATCCTAGCGCTGACTGGAAGTCATCGCCTCGATTAAATCAGCGCGAGCGATGACTGGTCATGAGTCTTTTTTACAATATGTGACTCAGAGGATCCATTCCCTGATCATCTTTTTAGGGGCCAAGCATTCACTGAAAAAATGGTTTCATTTCGAGAAAAAAGGCATGCAGTTACAACTTTCGATAATGTTGGATTAATTTCTCGACCCTTTGTTTGAATGATCAACTTTCATCGTTCATTCGGTATGTGTTGATGAAAGAAAATTTTGACGATGTATACAGGGCTGTCGCAGTCGAGGAAAACTTGTTGGGTCACCTTCATTTGCTGTCTAAAATGGGTTTGACTTTTTTCATTTTGTCTGAAAACTATTCCTAATAATGTCTTACTAACCATCTGGCATATCCTCAATTGTTAGGGAATTTCACCAAAATGTGGCAGGGAAACGTGAGGAAATTTCATTTTCTTAATTCTGTGGCAGCCTTCACTGGAAAAAAAACACATTGGATCTCGAGTCCAGACTCTTGAAAACATTGACAAGAAAAAGGACTCATGATTCAATCAGATTTAAGCTTAAATCGAAAGGAAATCCGCTCAAATTAAGAGGCTTGGTTCTTTATTTAAGCTTAAATCTGATTGAATCAAGAGTATTTTTTCCTGTTGATGTTTTTAAGAGTCTGGACTCTAGATCCAATGTGTTTTTTTTCCGGTGTTGTATTAGCTCAGTTGATAGCTTCTAACTTGTGTTTTTTTCTATAGCGTGGGTTGATTTTTTTTTGGCTTGGTTCGGTGAGGATTAGTTCGCAAGAGCAGTATCTCTGACGCCTGCTTTCGCAAGAGGGTATGAAGTAAAGATCTTCGAAAACTTGTCAGTCTTCACCTGGCGGCTCGACGCTACAAGTACGGAGGAGATAAGTCCGAGAAGGGCCATAGCCGCGTGGTGGCGTGGTGTGGCGTGGCATGGCGTGCCTGCAGCGGTGAAGCAGTTATGCAAAATTTTTATGCTTCATAACTAACTTGGACCCCGCTCCCGCTGCTGTCTTCTCGGCTCGCGAAACGAACGTGAAAGTCGGTAATGAAGATGTGCAAATGTTGAGGTCGGATGGCTCCAACGAACGCAAGGCTTAAAAATAGTGTCGGCAGGACTGGAACGAAACTAACGACTTCAGCCTTATCCAGCATTCCTTTCATGGCGTGTTAAAGTTTGGACCTCGCTTATCACTTCATCTCATTTTCCCCAGAGGGTTTGTTATTTGCTGAAACGGAACCGCCATAATTGATTTTGGCGTATACAATTGGTTCGAAAGTGCACCCTTTAATCCGTTTGAATACTCTAGCAAAAGTTAAAAGTTTTTTTATGACACCTCGAAGCGGTAATCTGTTGTTCTGAAATCGCCTAATCCGAGTTTTCCGTGACTCCCCAACGCGACCAAATTTCGATTGCCGGGTGACGGTCACGTTTGAATTCAGGTGGCCTACATTATTGTTGTGTTAAGGAAAAAATCCGCATGAGCATTTAGAAGTTGCCCCATCGCCTCGTTGGTTATGTTTATTTCGGAGAAAGGCTCCGTATTTTTTTTCCCCCTCGAAATTTTCACGAATACAGGATAAAGGAAGTCTTCCAGCACACTGGGAAAAAACCACATTGGATCTAGAGTCAAGTTCTTAAAAACATCGACAAGAGAAAGTACTCTTGTTTCAATCTGAATCTAGCTTAAATCAAGAACCAAGCGTCTTAATCTAAGCGGATTTCCTTTTGATTGAAGGAAAAATCCGATTGAATCAAAAGTATTTTTTCTTGTCAATGTTTTCAAGAGTCTGGATTCAAGATCCAATGTGTTTTTTTTTTTTTTTTTTTTTTTTTTTTTTTTCCAGTGCAGCACAGAAGAATGGTTTTGGCATACATGTATTGCACCTCTTTTGTATCCAAGTTGCAAAGTTAGCGTACAGAATTGAGGTGACTGAATTCCTCTCGTTTACTGTCGAGTGATGAAGCGCAACGGCAACCGCTAGACGTCTCTGTCGCATCAATGGGGACTTGGATGCGGAGTCGAGATCTCAAGTGGCAGCCACTCAAATGCGGAGGTCGCGCCGCGCCGTGGGTGTCAGCTCCTTCGAAAATACATTCGTAAATGACACGTTTGCGCCACAGTAGAAATGATCGGTAAACGTGCAGCTTTGCTCCATCCTCTTATATCGTCCAACACTGGAAAAAAAAATCTTAAATTTGCCGCCAAGAAGTATTTCTTCTTAAATCAAGAATTTTGCTGGTTAATATAAGCTACCTTTTTGCCTAACCCAAGCATTATTTTTCTTGAATCAAGAAAAAGTCAGCTTAAAGCAAGATAAAGAAAATTCTCGGCGGCAAATTCAAGAATTATCATGCTTGATCCAAGCTACTTTTTTTTCAGTGAAGCATCCGTGTTGTGTCCAAAGTTCTGGTGAATCTCAAGTGACACACTATAGTGAAAAATCGGAATTCGAATGTTTCCGACTGTGCGCATAGTGGAAAAAAGCGGTGCTAGAAGCAAGAAATGCATCGCTTTTTGACGCTAATGTTAGAAATTTTCCGTTTGAATTTTTTCATTGTTGTGAAAGTCATTGCAATACGTGCCCTTTAAGACGGTCCCTGAAGGACGTCTGCCACCCCCCCCTCCCCCGGATTTTTTAACCTCCTCCCATCTTACCCTGATCGCCAGGTGTATATCAGAGACAAGAGACTCTCCAGTGGAATCATGGCAATGGTGGCAACTTTTACTTTCGGGACTCAAGCTTCCAACCATTGACCTACCTACTAGGTGGATGGTAAACAACGTGTTGAGAATTTCGTTTCGCAAACAAACCGAAGTTTGGAGAACTTAGTTAGCTCATTGCGTCGACCGAAGATCATCATTCACATAGTAGGCAAGGTGACTGTTGCTCCCATGTATTATGTACGAGGAAATGTTGAATCCCTGAAATTTAAAGCTTCCACCTGTCGCCAAGAGGCCAGTGGAGGGTCTCTTGTCTCTAGTGTATACAGACACCCTTTGACCCTCCGCTCAATTCATTCATTAATTTCAATTTTTGGACGAAATTAGTAACCAGGGTGTCTACAAGTCTGGAATTGGGCGGTCCGGAAGCACTGAAAAAGTACGGAAATCCCGCTAGAAGGTCCGGAATATTTGTTCATTTTTTTCATTCTTGTCGCAATTTGAGCAAGAAATTCAAATTGTTGGTCTGTTGCGAATTTCGTCAATTGAAGGTACTTAAAAAGTACTGAATTTTTCCGCTGAGGAGGTACTGAATTTCATGGGAATGTACTGAAAAAGTACTGTAAAAGTACTGACTTTTGGCCAGCCTGTTTTAATAGACACCCTGGTAACTATAAACTTTCAGATGTTTACAATCTCTCGTAATAATAAATCTTAATAATTTATAATCTCAAGTTTTTAATTCGGATCCCACCCGTAGAATGACAGAATTCTAAGTAGA